AAAGATAATTTTTTGCTATTTTTAAATATGTCATAATTATAATATATATATATATATATATATATATATATATATATAAAGCGAGAGGTTTTTCTTCAAATGGTGAAATAATATGATAAAATTGTTTTTTGGGCATCCCTCCAGTAATTAAAAACAGTTTTATTGAAAGGAAATATTTTTATTCAGAGAACATACGTTTCGGGTCTTGATTTGACCCATCTTCAGTGCATACAAATAAATTTTATAAAAAAAACAACAAAAACACACAAAATTGCACGAAAAAAAATAATTATGAAACAAAAAATTGATAAAACGTCGAGTTATGATAAATTTTAAAAAATTGTAAAATTAAAATAAATAATATATTTTATTATAAAAAAAGCTTATTCCAAACGAACATGTTGTCAACTTGGAGTATGTGTTACGTTTTTAATTACTGGATGGATGCCCAAGAACAATTTTATCATATTATTTCACCATCTGAAGAAAAACCTTTCGCTTTATATATATATATATATATATATATATATATATATATATATATATATATATATTGAAAGATATAACTAGAGCTAAAGATAATAGAGAAATTTGTGTGTATATATTTATATTAATCACAATTCATTTTCCCCGCTGCAATACATGGCATTTAATTTTCTTATATCAGACTCTGTCATTATATAATTGTACTCAATAACAGGATTCATGTCATTCTGGAAAAGATCATTTTGATTCAAAAAAATCTCTTAAACCTATTTTCAAAGTTGAGAAGTGTGACCTTACCCTTCGAACTATAGTATTTTTTTTATTTTTACTAAAGGCAAAGGAGGGATAGTGCATGATGCTTTGGTAGTCGTAAGTCGTACCATACGATTGATCCATACTCGCAGGTTCCTTATTGAAGGCAAATTGAAATTCTTAAAAAAAAATGTTAAAAGTAAGTTATGGGACCGATTCTGCCGCATAACAGAAAAATGTTATGGCAAGGCCATGTTATGAAAGATTTTTTATACTAAAACATTGACTAAAGCCATTGACTAAAGCCAAAGTCAGATAAAAAACTTAATCTAGAAACCGCAAAAAGAGGACTCTACTAGCAATCGAACAATTTAAATAGACCTAGAAAATAGAAAGAACACTTTACTAATGAAAAAAAGTAACTCTACTGACGAGCAAAATAAATTAAGAGAAAAATGTAATCTATTTGAAGAATTTGAAAAAAAAGCTCTACTAATGAGCAAACCACATTTTTCTAGAACTGACCAAATAAAACCTCTACTGACGATCAAACTAAAATTTGATTTAAATGGAGAAAAGGAACTCTACATTTTTTAACTTCCCGTAGGGTAAGTTATTGTAATGGGCCGAAAATCGGAATTGAAAATTTTTACATTTCTCGACGTTTTGAAGGTTTCTGAACGTTTTGGCATACCTCAGAAAAAATGGATGTGTGTGTGTGTGTGTGTGTGTGTGTGTGTGTGTGTGTGTATGTATGTGGATACAAATTTCCAGTCACGTTTTAGGGCGCACGGATCAACCGATTTGAATGGTTCAAAAAACATTCGATTCCTATTGATTGGGAAAAGAGCTGATTAGTTTTTGGCTAAGGCAGGTCCAGCCGTTTCGGAGATACGGAGCAAGAGTGCAAAAAATAGAAATCGAATTTTTGAGCGAACGGAGTATCCGATTTGAATGATCTAAAAAACATTCAATTAGTAATGATTGGGAGAAGTGTTTATTAGTTTTTGGCAAAGGCAGGCCCAGCCATTTCGAAGATACGGAGCTAAATATGTAAAAAATGGCAGTTTTTGAGAGAACTAAGCGTCCGATTTAAATGATTCAAAGAACTTTCTGCTTGTCTTAACAAAATAATTGATTTTGGAAAAAAAATTTTGTCAATTTTTTTTTTTTTTTTTTTTTTTTTTTTTTTTTTTGTAGTATTTTGTATATCGAAAATATTTCAGATTTTATTTTTAATTCTGACTATAGTTCTAATATACTTTAGAAATAATTTCAACTCTGCAATTCGGTTTATATAATTCTTATAAATATTAGACAATGTTACTATATTTATAATAATCTATTTGAAAACATTCAATATTCCTCGATCATTTCGTTACGGTGCGGGAAGTTCCAGCAATTTGCCTCAAGGCACGATGCCATAATTGCCTCAAGACAGAATTCCACTTACAGCTAGTTTAAAAATAATATAAAAAGGGACCCTACTGACGAGCAAACTAAATTTTAATTTAAATGGTTTAATTTAAAAAGAGACTACTGACCAGGGACAATTTTTTAAAATAAAGTGAGAAAGGGGCCCTACTGAGGAGCAAATTAAATTTTTGTTTAGATAGTAAAAGAGACTCTACTGACCAGAGACATTTTTTTAAAATAAAGTGCGAAATTGACTCTACTGACGACCAAATTAAATTTTAGTTTAAATGGAAAAAAGGGACTCTACTGACGGGCAACATTTTTTTAAAATAGAATGAAAAAAAGCAAACTTAATTTTGATTTGGAAGATTAAAAAAAGACTCTACTGACGAGCCACATTTTTAAAAATAATATAAAAAGGGACTCTACTGACGATAAAAATGAATTTTGATTCAAATGGAGAAAAGGGACTCTACTGACGAGCGACATTTTTTTAAAATCATATAAAAAGGGACTCTACTGACGAGCAAATTTAAATTTTGTTTAAATGGTAAAACTGATTCTACTGACCAGAGACAACTTTTTTAAATAAAATTAGAAAGGGACTCTACGGACGAGCAAACTAAATGTTGACTGAAATGGTAAAACAGACTCTACTGACCAGAGACAATTTTTTAAAATAAAATGAGAAAGGGACTCTACTGACGAACAAATTTAAGGCCATGTTATGAAGAACTCGCCATAGCAAATATTGACAAAAGCCAAGCGGTTGCTGTGCAGTCGGGCGTATTTCTCAGGTTGTCAGATAGAAAATCTAACCTAGAAACCGCACAAAACGATCTTAGATAACCGTGTCTTTCTGACCCAGCTTCATAACATACGAGTGACGTTGCAGTTTATGTGTAAAACGCCTGAATGCACAGCAAACACATGACATTTTGACAGTATACAGTATGATTCAGTAGCATAATGCATGTAACATGGCCTTGCCATAACATTTGTATGCTGTGAGGCAGAATCGGTTCCTAAGTCCGATATGTTCAAGATGTTCAAATATACCGTCTTTAATATTTTCTCTGTAAATATACACATAGTCGTCTCTATTATGAGCAGCATGCTGATGATGAAATCCTAAAGAATGCAGAAATTCGTGTTGAACTACACTCTGAGTTACGCAACCGGTTCTTTCCAAATGAATTGATTGTACTCTATTTCTAAAACCTAGCTCTGCATTACATCCCTTTTTATCGCCCTAAAATAAAGAAATTAATATAAAACAAAACAAATTTTTGTACGAATTGTTATACCGATATTAAGACGTAGTTTTTTTCGCCTCTTCTCCTTGGTCTGACAGTTACGCAAGAAACTTCAGCAAACTTTCTGGCTGCTTCGTGAATTATATTTCTCTCTGTTTGATCTAAAAAATATACAACTCAATAATTTTTCAACAAAAAACAATGTTTTATCCATCCATATTGGCGGTTCGAATGTCGTGAAAAGTCTAGGGTGCACGTTCAAATTTTGCCAAACCATACGAATAGTGTGATAGCTGGTGGAAAGAAAGCACGAACATTTATAAAGGACGAGAGATACAACTTGTCGTCTAGCCGTAACACTAACCAAAAATTCGAACGTACACGCTGGATTTTCGTGACCTTTAGCCCTGCATATGGATGTTTCGTGCATTTACTATATACTAAATTTTATAGTTTCAAAATTATGAATTATTACTTACTAAAACAAGATGTGATGACATACGGGACAGTGTTGTTAGGCCAAATATATTTTTGCAAATCCATAGTGATTTCTCCTCTCATCGCAGACATTTGTTCTGAATTTAATATCATGTCGCCTTCGTATTGACCACTATCCATCCATGTCATACCTAAATTGACCAATTTGTTACTAAATTATTCAATTTAATAAATATTTTTATAATTTGAATACCGTTTGTCGGAGATGACAAATAAATTAAAGATAATAAAAGAACAAAAACTAGCATCTTGCTTTAAGCTTTTTGAAAATATTCAAGCGTTGTGACACGTTTTGCAAAATTGTATGAAATGAACTGGAAGTTGATTTTTCGATAAATTCAACCTTGAATTATTTTTTGTTTATTTCATTTAGAAAATACAGGAGAATAGTGTAATTGGATACGAATTATTATTTTGATTTAAAAGTACTGAAATATTAATTTCTAGTTGCTTAATTTTATTAACTTGAAATATTTTTAAATGTATTCTTTATTTGTCTTCAATATTTTTAAAAATTCGAGTTTTATATCAAATGAACGTGTTAAAATTTGAAAAAAAACTACAAATAGTTAACAAGGTCAAATTTTAAAATTATAAATTTGTAATTACAAGCAATTAAACAGACTATAAATAAAATTGTATAAAAATATTGTTCTTTGTTTATAAATCATCTGTTCATAAATTAAATATCCTTTTCACGCCGTTTTCCTCTAATGTTGCAGATAAACGTAGTCGTGTGACCCCTTCAAAGGTCAAAAGTAATTCGTACAGATTCCACTCAATAATTATAATGGAAAAAAATTCTTTGAGAAGTTAATAATGAGTTTGTTAAAATAAATCAAACACATTGGTTTATAATTTTAACATATTATTGTATTTGCTGAAACACACTGATCTTATTATTCATTTATTAACACTAATTACACTAATGGTATTTATAGTTACTTTATATAAACTACCCTTATCATTATCATTTATCCATCGTAATTTTGCGTGATTTTTTTCATAGCCAATATATTTTTACATATTATGAAAGTTGTTAGAACTGTCGATATATATATATATATATATATATATATATATATATATATATTACAATTTATTATCTTCACTGCAATACATGCCATTTAATCTTTGAATATCCATTTCAGTCATCTTTTTATTGTCTCCAATTGTGTTTGGTGTACCGGACTAAAAAATAAATTGTGAAATTAGTGTAATATAAAGAGTTTGCGTAAAGAAGTTTTGCTTCACCTTCAGCGCTATAGTTATTTGGCCGTTTTTACTAAACGCATAGGAATCATAATGCATGACGCTTTTGTAGTCGTAACTGGTGCCAAAATATTGGTTCATGGTCGAAGGAATTTTGACGAAATTGTATTCACTTCCTTTAAAAGAAAATTGTTTTAAAATAATGATAATTTAAAGAGTTCTTTACTGTACCATTTGCAATATTTTCTTCATAAACAGTCACGTAGTTATCTCTATCGTAAGCAGATTGCTGGTGATGGAATCCCAAAGCGTGCAGGAATTCATGTTGTATAATATAGTCGTGTAAACAACCATTTTTTTGCAAATTCAGTTGTTGGACATTATTCATAAATCCTACGTATGAATAACATCCTTCGTTTTCGCCCTTAAAATAATTAAATTAATACTAAACAAAACCAAAATGCTGTTAAAATATTAAAAAGTTGTACTGTTATTTGCACGTATTTGTTCTCGCCTTTTCTTCTGGGTCTGACAGTGACGCAAGATACTTCAGCAAATTTTTTAACAGCCTCCTGAATTATATTTTTCTCTGTTTGATCTGCAAAAATGATAAAACACAAGAAAAAACAATGTTTTATCCGTCCATATTGGTGGTTCTAAGGTCGCAAAAAGTCTAGTGTGAACGTTCAAACTTTATCAAACTATACGAATAGTGCGACGGCTCGTGGAAATAAAGCGCAAACATTTACAAAGTACGCGCGATACAATTTGTCGACTAGCCGTCGCACTAACAGATCTTTTGTTCAAGATTTGTACGTTCACACTGGACTTATCATGACCTTAGACCGTTGCATATGGACTTATGCACATACGTAAAATTTGTTCATAAAAGGTACTTTTACAGTAATTTTGTTAAAATACAGTCAGAAGCAATAGTTTTTTTGTGCAAAATACTTACTAAAACATGGCATTATATAATAAGGCAGAATATTGTTAGGCCAATGATATTTTTTCATATCCATCGTGATTTCTCCTCTCATCGCAGACATTTGTTCAGAATTTAAAATCATGTCGCCTTCGTATTTACCACTTCGCATCCACATCATACCTAAAACCATTAATTTTTTTTTATAAATTTTTAATATAAAATTTAGTTTAATATAAGAATTTAGTACATACCCCTGTCTCTAGTCGGATTTGCAAAACTAAAATCAGATATTGTAGATAATAATAAAAAGACAAAAAGTAGCATTTTGTTTTTGATTTTGAGAAAATATATTTAAAAAAAAATGTGTATGCACTGGAAGCATGGAAGTTGTTTTTCATAAACTAAACCTTGTTTTTGATTGTTGTTTGTTTTATTAAATAAATACAGGAGTGCAGTGTTACTGGGTACAAATTATCAAATTTACTAACATAATTTATACTTGTTAGCTCAAAAAAAATTATTTGTGTTAAAAACTTTGTTTTTGTATTTAAAATTTTATAAATAATAAACTTTCTATGAAAATATCGAAGCCAAAATAATTTATTTATATATTTCAATCATTATCTATTTATAAATTAATTATCTCATTTACCTAGTTCTCTCCTACAATCGTAGATAAAAGTCATCGT